ATTAATAGAACATTCAGTGCACCTTCATAATGCATTCATAGAACATTCAGTGCACCTTCATAATGCATTCATAGAACATTCAGTGCACCTTCATAATGCTTTCATGGAACATTCATAAGCAACATGTAAGTATACCTTAACTGTCAAGGTCAGCGCCCATCCATCCATGCCCTTATGTCACTTCCCCACTTGGCCAGCAGGTGTTGCTGGCCATCCTGTTCCCTCCTGTCTTTGTACTAGATCTTTGTGTGTTTTCCCTACTTCCCAGACCATTGCATAGCTCAATCAGCTGAGTGCTTTTCCACCACACCAGGTACTTTCCCTTTTCCATTGAGTTCCAGTCGAGTACAAGTACAAAAAATTCAGTACCTAAAGCATTAAACCTGCTAGGGTAATTTGTGCTTTGGCACATTGCGATGGGACTTGCAAATGCATTGTTTATCAAATGTTATGCAGATAACCTGCTTCTGAAATCAACCGTGCTAGTAAACAACCAGCAACTTTAAAAAAAAGTTATGAACTCAGAAAACAACAATAAACAAAGTAAAAAAGTAATAATAATTCATGTGAGGACAAATGAAGAGACTCAAGCTTTAATTATGATCTGGTCAGAAGAACCAGAGGGCGATCTGGAGGGCATGACAAGAAATAAAAAAAGTATTTGCTATAATATTGTAGGGCTGCATGGTACTGGAAATTTTCAAATATCAGGATGTGATTTTGTTGACATTAATAGCAGGAGACTGACAGGTCACCTCAGAGGAATTACTTAGTTATAATAGATTATCCTTGAACCCATTTGATCTTAGCATGATCAAAACACCATACAACTTAAAAAGAGAGAAAATGAATCATAAACAAAAGGATTTTCATTCTCCGGTGATGGTGGCCTTCCTCGTGATGTCTCTTTTCTCTGATAATGGCCATTTCCCCCCTTTAATGTGTGACTCAGGCAATCTGGTGGTCAGTGCACCCCTCCTCCAGCGTCACTCACGTCACTCCCCAGGCTTATGAGTGAGGCGACACAAATGGGGGGACAGGGGGTCACTAATTTATTTCCACCCCCAGCCTTGCAGGGTGCCCGGTCCTGTACAGCGATGAGAATGAGAGGACCCGTCTGCCTGACACGAGGCGTCCAGTATTATGCCTGTTAACGAATTCCATTACTTTAATGCTTTATTTTTAAGGAATTTTCCAATAATGACTAACTTGCATTGTCAGTTTTCTAAGACATCAGCTATATTTCCTGCCAGAGTAGTTGACCCGAGTTCTGCTAAAGATATGCTGGGACTGAAGTGTGACAAACTGCCGAAGGTTTGTAGCCCTGTGCATGTCTGCCTTAAGGGGTTCACACCCTGGCGAACTCTGACGGTCGATTTGATCAAAATATATTTTTTATCCACCGAATTATTTACATGGTATTTAAAAACATAGCATACATAGTTTTTATTTTCTCAGTTAAAACATTTTCCAAATTCTCATCGTTGTTAAGTGAGTGCGTGTTTACCCATTGCAATAGTCCACATATAATGAGACGATAGAAAATATTATTTGATTTATTAATCGATATATCTGTGATGGGTTGGCGCTCCATCCTGGCTTGTTCCTCGCCTTGCGCCTGCATGCAGCCCCTGGGACAGACGCCGGACGCCCCGCGATCCTGAGCAGGACGAGCGATTGCAGAAAATGGATGGCTGGTTAATATAGCCTATTTAACTGGTAACCAAACTGAACGTGTTATTTTAGCTCAACCCATATTTTATATACTACGATAAACACTAAAAGATAAAATGCTTGATCCCACAAAATTTATTAAGGCGTTTATTCTGATCTACCTCCTAAAATTGACGGGTCATAAGAAATAACAAACGCAGAGCTACTGAAAAAATAACGTTTTATTTAGACAGAATAATGACTCCTTGAGAAAGAATAATAAATAAATTTTAAAATAAATTCAAATCGGGAGACATTTGAACAGGGTTTCATAAGAGATAAGAAAATCTTTCGTATTTGATCATCGATGTTTCTGGAAGCTGTGTTAGAACTTTTCACTACGCAAATGCAGAGAGCCGTAAGCACGATTCTTATAGCGCCTGCACGGACAGAGCAGCTGTCCCTTTAAATTTTCCCAAAAGCCCCTTAAAGAGCCCTAGGGGCCCAAAACCCGCTCCTCACTCAAAATAGCGGCAGTGTTTTTGAAAAGCGGCCAGGGACCACTTTATGTATCAGAAAACGAACGGAGCTCGCTTCTGCACGGGCGATCGGAGAGAAACTAAACTAAGTTGCCGAGGTTCGGACGGGCGCAGAGGGGCGCTGCGCAGTGTGTGTGTGTGTGTGTATTTAACTGCACGCCACTTTGGTACCGCCAGCTGGCCTTAGCATGTCGTTGTGACCGCGGCATTATGCCCTGATACTCGGTATCTATATAGTAATATAACCAATAAGTAAACTGGGCAGCACAGCAAAGAAAATCGGACGCGTCGGTGCACATGTGCGAACCGCTCCAAGCACCGGAAAGGATCGGACACAAGTGACCCAGGACCCTTTGCAGGTACAGCATATCTTATTTATATGCGAGGTAACGTGCATTTCCACCGCCCGGTATCCTAATCTCATTCAGATCAGCCCCTATGACTGTCGGTACTGTTTATCGGCATGGCCTCTTCCTGTCTCCTTAATAAACAAAGAAGGCGAGCTGCGGCGGAGACTCGAGGGCGCGCCCTGCTGGACGCCAGCGGATATGACTCCGACTCCCAGCTGTAATGACGGAAGTTGTGCAGAATATTTCGAGACGAGCTTTATTTGCGTGCAAGGTCACACTTAGAAGGAGTCTGTCCTGTCCTGGTGCTTTCAGTGACCTCTGTCAGAAAACAGATGAAATATCTGACAGACGACAGTGAACTTAAAAATGTCATTAAAGAGTAAATACATACACGTGCAGTGCTGGATACCGCCAGTAGTGATTACAGAACGTCCGGTCCTGTCCTGTGATGTGGTTAAATTCAAATAACAATCGGTGATGAGGTGAGTAGGGACTTAGCGATGGTCTCTTATGTCATCATAGTCTGAGGAAGGTTGGCATACTATGCTATGCTTTCTCGATGATGTAGACTGTTCTCCCATGAAAGATCTTGGTAATTATTCCCAGAATTAGAAGGACTTGGGAGTATTAACTGTGGGGCAGTGGATTATTTGGGGGTCAGAGAGGGGGGCTTCTCTACCTGCTGGTAGGGCGCACACAGCCCAGTGAGGCGCTCGGGGTCACAGTGCCCGGTGTGTCTGCGGGGGTGAAGGATTCCGCTGACTCATTTACCTCTTAGAAGAGGCCTCAAAGCAGCGGGACGTGTTTAATATTCATTACAGAATCTGACCTGCAGATCGATTTGTAGTTTTCCGCAGAATAAAAAAACGATGTAACGTTTCTCTGCTGGGGGAAGTGACGGGGTGCAGTGTGGATATTGGGGGGGTGACAGGGTGCAGTGTGGATATTGGGGGGTGACAGGGTGCAGTGTGGATATTGGGGGTGGTGGTGACAGGGTGCAGTGTGGATATTGGGGGGTG